ACGCCTTTACTTCTAGGACCCAGGCTAGATCTTTCAAGCATGTTCAAAAAATGTATATAATTATATATATATAAATATGTTCAAGCAGATTTGCATCTCTTTGCCACATCGGAATCCACATTCCCAGAGCACAGCGGCTTTTGCATGGTTGCATGGACTCAGTTCCGCGGACCATGTGAGAGCCTGTTATTCACATTTGTTAACCATGGTGTGGGATGATATTGTTATACCCAGACACTCCATGGGACTGCCATATATGCTTACATTGGGGTGGTGCCAGGGGGTCAATGTAGGCATATATGGCATACATGGAGTGTCTGGGATATATTGTTGATCTTGTCCATCATCTGCTGGACTTGAGGTCTCCCTTCTGTTCGACCAAAAATCATCCAATGATACCGAATGTAAACGCTGCTGGTAGGCACAAACCCGTACAAGCCCAACATTTGCCGCCTTTAGGGTCAACAAGCCCAGCATCCCTTTTGCTCTTTGAGGTCTTTTTGAAGGGCCAACTCACTGAGCTCTTTGGCGCTCTCCCTGCCCTAAAGCACTTCGACCACCTGTGGAGCTTTCACCAGCTGTGCCGAGCGCTGGACTGCACCAAAGAGGCCGTGGACAGGGAGGTCTGGCCAATGCGGGCGCGCTTGGCCACGGAAGAGGACTGGCCGCAGCTGCGGCAGATTTGGAGGGAACATCATCACTTGGTGGAGATGGTGGATGAAACCAGCCAAGTGGTGGCGTGGGAAAAGCCTTCACAGTCTGCTTTGAAGTTGGTTGATCATGTTGATCCATTTTTTCCATTGCCTTCCCGATCTCGGATCGGTGCCAGTTGGACCAATGACGACGACTGGGCATGGCCACTCATCCCACCACACCTTGAAATAGGGCACCTCCCAGGGTCTGCAGGATGACTCTCTTCTGACGGCTTTTCTCACACCTTTTTCAGTTCATGCGTGCTCTCTGTTCACCATGCTTTTTTCCTTTGAACCCAGGTCATCACAGGCCCACCCGCCTGGTTGGCCCTGCTTCTGGGCCTCTGGGGCCTGTGGAGTCTTTGGAGCACCGACGCTTCGCTGGACGCTTCGCCGGACGCGCCGCTCCCACTCCGGGCGGCAGCGGGCTATGCACTGCTGGCGCTGCTGCAGCATCCCTTGCACTGGCTGATCGCCTGGAATATTTTGGCCTACGACCTTCGCTGGGGAGCTCTGGCTGAGTGATGTTTGAAACAGGGTGGGGGGGGCATGAGAGAGGGCATGAGTCGCACGAAAGAGGGGTTCAAGGAAAGCGTCCGTCATGCGCAAGTTGCATGTTCTTGATTGTTCTTGTCAGGACAGCAGCAGCAAGTCCACTTCTATACTTTCTCAACATCTCTGGGCAGGTGACTTGCACCCCTTCGTCCATGTGGGTGCAGGCGTGAACATGCTCACTGATTGGACCTAAATGGAATTATATATATATATATATCTAAATATGTGATTCTTTGCTCCGGAACTCCGGAGGAATCCAACCCACTCACCTCTCACTCGCCACATCCCTCCCCTCCACCTCCATCCCAGGAGAGCTCCGCTCCCTAAAGGCCTGGACCTCACGCGGATCGGACGTGCACGCGGCGGTCCTGCTGGTCGAGGCGGTGCCCGGGGCGCCGCTGCCTCCGGCGGACGGCGTGCTTTGTGTGAAGTGCCACCGGCAGGTGGCCAGCTTGTGGCATGCGGCGGTGCGGCCGGCGGCACGCAACACAGGTGGGAGGGAGATTAAAATGGGTCAATCGCAAGAGAACCACGCGGATCACGGGAGATCCTGAGGTTTGGACTAAACACGGCGGGTCTAGTAGCAGGGATGATCCTGGTGAGGCCAGGTCCTGTGAAACTACGTCTTAGAGGACAGAGTCGCACTTGGATTGGATCATCAATGCGTTGGACCTTGAGAACGATATGATACGATCCGCACCTCGAAAAAACGCCTCAACAACACACATGCCGCTGGCCGCGGGTCCAAATGCCAAGCCCCCCCCAAAGTGATCGGTGGACGAGGTGGAGTCAGTTTCGTCGCAGACTTCAGACTTCAGTCACGCCCGGGAGTGAACAGCCGCCCTTGGATGAATAGAGTTGCCTTTTGGAGGGAGGATCCAAGAAAGAAGATTAAACACGTGCCCCGCTTCCGCAAATCCAAGATGTCGTTCATTTTGGAGGGCCAGAAAAAGGCCCAAACCGTTATCCGCGCGCAGGTGCCAGCTCAGCACTGCTGGGGCTGGCAGAATCCTGGGCGCGAGAGGCTGGTGCTATACGCCTGGAGGCGGTTTGTTTGAATCCTGCCGCCAAGGCCGGGGTCATGGTTTGCACACTCTTCAGTCGTCGCTTGGATGTGGGTGGCACCTGCGTCACCAAGAGTCGTGAACTGGGGAGTCAGGTGATCATATAGCTGAAGGCTGCATGAACCATATCATGAACCTACAAAGGTAATGATGAACATGCATTAACCAGGAGTCACAAAGGGGTGCCGAACTTGGAGGTTAGGGGTGCCCATTATCCACTCACTGGATGGGACCAAACACCACCCTGCCTTGTGACCCCTGGAAGATCATCCGGGATGGTGTTGCCAAAATTGTTCTTCACTTGAAGACCTTCACCCTGAGACCGACCGACAGGGCCACCGAACCCCCACCCAGGCGGCCTGTTGGAACAATCACTTGGAGCTGTGCAACCCACGCTGGGGCAAGTGGCCACTGATGCCGGCCTTCTTTCGGAAGCAGCTGGGGAAAGCGAACCGGGGAGCAAAAAGGAGCATCATGGAGTCGGTCAATGGGACTTCTTCCCAGTACCGCCCCCCTTCCGAACGAAGCACCCGCGCGCTTGCCGCGAAACTCCAGGGGGGAACCCGTTCGGCCGGGTCGGGCCGCCACACAGACCATGTCTGCGATGGCACGACCTGTTGCGGACGGTGGATGGACGAACTGCAATTCATCCAGCAACGAGTCGTTGGCCACAGCGCCTTCGTGCCGAGGTGGCGTGGTGCTTGAGGAAATTCTCCTTGAAGCACGGGCGCCCGGAAGACCGGAGGAAGACAGGGCAGCCGTTTGGGAGAGCAAAGTCTAACCAGAACAGTGTAGAATCAGTCCGGAAGGCGGGGATTCTTTGGGGGGCCCGGAAGGAGTTTACAACTATAACACCTCCAAGAGTTCCAAACCACCTTTGAAGGCCTGTAACCCCGCTCGAATCTCCGGACGATTCCGGACGGATGGACGACCACCGGACGAGGGCCCATCCAGGCCCCTCCGCCGTTGGTCGGACGGTACCCCCGAACCGCCGAGTCCGGCCGCTGCCCGATGCCGCGCGCGACCGATGTCAAGGCCAGAAGCCTTCTTGAAGGTCTTGTCCACCTCCACCACGACCCGACCTGAGAAGGGGGTGGACGAGTGGCCGGTGGTGCGGTCGAAAGGGTGCCTGTTTGGGCGCGTGCGCTTCTGTTGGGGGATCGGTAGAAGGCTTGCCATTGAAAGACTGCAGCAAAGGTTTCAAGCGGGTAAACCGCCAGGAATTTATTTCAACGTTCCTCAAACGCACAACAACCCAACGGACTAGTGTAACAATAGTAGCAGACAGCAAAAGGCAGCATGGAATCAGCCCATGTACTCAGATTATATACCTTCTTGTTGCGAAGTTCATGATGAACTCCTGTATCAGGGCTTGCCGAGCTATCTTCACCGCAGAAAAATGCAAAAAAACATAGTCACAGGCATAGGCGTCATAGAACAACATGCACATGGACACCTGCATCATTTCACCACACACACATATTAAACAAAAAAGAAGAAATCATGTTCTTTTTTTTAACGTATAATTTCATACATATATAGAGAAACAATAATAAACACACACACACACACACACACACGCACTCCCATGCACGCAAACCGAATCTCCTGATCTGATTCATACAAGCACCAGCCAGCCCAACCTTTGTGGTTTCGAACGTTAATTCCTCTATTTGCATTCGCAGTTCGACTGCGGATGCTTTGCTGGATTAGATGGTGCATGGTGCAACAGTGGTTCGACAGCCGAACCCCGAGAGCCAGCGCAGGCTCCGGCTGCACGACTTCACTGCGTCCCAATTGGCGAAGATCTCGTGGGCCTTTGCCAAGATGGGCCCGGGCGCTTGTCACACCCGCAGGCGCCAATGCCCTCTCCAGGGATGGGCCACGGGTGCAGTGGAACTGGTTGGAAAGAATTACATTGATGACGTTGTCAATGTAGTGGTCCTGGCAGAGGCAAGGGCATTGGTATTGGTTTGCGTATATATATATATATGTATGTGTTTATAAATTAAATGTGTATGTTTGTTTGTAGTTTGTTGTACAATCTTGTGTTTTTCTATATACACACATATATATATATAATGTACTGTAGTATGCTATAAATTTAGCGTTTGTTCTTGGTGGTGAAGACATTCCCTTCCCAAGACTCTGTGTTTCGATTGGCGCCTTGTTGGTTCATTAATTTTGGAGTCACTACTATGGCTGGGTGTTTTTCGGAATGTCAAGATCCTGCGTTTGGATCCCCGAGTTCAAGTTCTGGTTGATCACCTCAGGTGTACACCAGTGGCCACTTACGACATAACACATGAGAAGTCATCTACTCTACATGAGTTTTAAGGGTAGATGGCACAGAGCCGGCCCACCAGACTCACCAGCCTTGCGGGCCCGTGCCATCGAACCCCCGGAGCGGCGGGTCGCGCCACGCTCGGACCTTTAGTGTCCGGAGAGCACGGCCGAGAGGCGCATCGGACCCCGGGGTCAGGCTTTGAGCGGTGTCATGAGACTTCAGGATGACTCCATATGGCATAGAATTGGATACAGCCGCTTGACTGGCGCGGCCCGAAGTTGTTCAGTAGCTACTGGGTTCACATTGAATCCCTTATAGTTGGGTTCCTTGTTTCGATCAGCGACACTTATGACTCAAGAGTTCCAGCCTTCGGTGGCCATGAATTCACCAGAACCCGCCAGACGCATCCAGACTGACTTCTTTAATCGGCTTCTTAAGCATCACCGTGGTCGCGAAGACGGGCTGTGCTGGCACCCCATGGCCGCATGAGTTGCAGCGAAGAGACCATCGCCGGCGCTGGCCGCGCACTGGCAACGGCAGCTTGGAGGAAGGGAAACTGCAACAGGAAGCAGTGAAGCAGCTGGGCCTTTCCTTGGCACGACCATTCCTCGGGCCGGTGTTGAGGGAGATGATCAGATGTCCGTGATCAAAAGGAGCAACTTGTACCATCTCTGGGTATCTTTGGGTCACCCACACTGAGGGGCATCCTGGCAGTTCTTTCTGCAAATTGTTGATATTGATGCCACGCTGACCCCCAAAACTTGGTGGCTTTGCTCAACAAGCATTATGGGTCGCACATACGTTTGGTTTCTTCCTTGCAGAGAGCTCATAGAACTCTCCTTCTCAAAGCTCCGATAGGGCTGAACCAGGCCGTAGATCCTCCATCCTGTGACAGCCATCCTCTCTCTCTCTCTCTCACCCAGACCTCACCAAAACCAGGCTGTTCACAAGCCGACGGACCTCAAGACGCCCTTCCAACGCCCTCGACCCAGACCTGCCGCCTTTTTACCCCCCGCCTCCTGACTCCCTGGTGCATTGCAGACCGTCGAGGTCTACACCGCGGTGTCGGCACTGTGTGCGGGGACGGTGCTCTTGAGGTGCCGCGAAAGCGGGAATTCGATTGGGGGGTGTCGGTGCGGGTGGAAGGGGTCTCCTGGCATTGTGGGGGCCAACATGGGCAAGGTCCTATGCACCTTTCGGGTTACGACCCCACCCTGGCCTGAAGAAGCCTAAAAGCTCACAGTTTAGGTGTGTAACTTCAAGTTCCATCAAATTCCTCATACGACATATGTCAATGACAGCATTGGCCCACCCCAGGGTGCATTCTCCACCCCAAGTTGCAAACTCTGAGGCTTTCGCTGTTGAGATGGCTTCAATGTGTGCAAACTCCTGAAGCCAAACCTGTAAAGAGTGAATTCCGCTCGCCCTCTTCATCTGAATCCGGCCCGATTGGGTTTTGACATTGGTTGTGATTCTATGACCCATTAAGATCCACTGAAGTGTCTCGCTCTACTCGGTAGATGTGAGTCATACAGCAGAGGACCCTTCGTTCGTTGGGTTTTGAGACCTTCGTTCGTTGAGGCTGCTGACCGCCAAGTTCTGCCACTTGCCCTTCCACCTCCGGCATGCCGCCTTTCTGTTGCTGCTGCCGCCTGGCAAACGATCAAATAGCGATGAGTGTTGCAAGGTGGGGTGGAGTGTAGTTGTTGTTGAAGACAGGGCCCGTCAACCATCCAGCGAAAGCATGGAGCCAACACAATCAACACACATCAACCAAACCTGCCGGAAACTGGAAGCCCACTTCGCTACGCGTCGCTACAGCCCACCCAAAGAAGGATTTCAATTTTAAGAACATTTATCAGAATTTTATCTGACAGGTTTCTTGATGCTTTCAGGTCTACCTCCTTCCTGCCGAAAACCGCTTGTGGTTTTGCTTGGTGGTCCTTTGGCTTCGTCCAAGCTTCGTCGGGGAAGCTTCACCAAAAGGAGATAGGTGGTGATCAGCTAGCATGATGACCAAGAAGCTCAACCACACCGATCCTTAGGAATTCCTATCGAACATGAGGCTGCCCTGGTTTTTGGAGCTTCAGAAAGGATCACCGCTTCTCCCTTTCCATTCCGCCCTGGCCGTGGGAAGATCCATCGGACCAGGCTGCTGCTCTTTGTCGGTCGGGTCGCCAGTGACATTTGGGAGCTCGGAGGCTTGGCCGAGGCATCGGGCGGATTGGCCGAGCAGAGAGGCTTTCGGTTTAGGCGCCCAGTGGAGACTTTTTTTTGATTTGGATCTTTCGGCAGGGCCAACATTTTCTGCCAGAAGTGGCTGCTCTTTGTGGATGAAAAGGGCAGACATGTTGCACTGTTGGAACATGTCAGGTCCAGGCGGTCCAGGTATACACCTTGAACATGAAAGAACTTCACCACGACCACGCCCATTTCGTCGAGTACCTGAAGCCCATTTCGTTCGGTCAAGAGGGGTGACACCTTCGTTGACCAGAATGGTCGGGTGGATCGACCCATATGTGGGGGATGTTTGGGCGCCATGATGTGACATGTTTCATAGAAGGGATGGGTCCAACGGTGAGGAGAGTCGTGCCCATGTGGCTTTGCAGGTGTACTGTAGTTCTTTTCTGCAGCCCTGCGGCCGTGTAGAACGACAGTCCCAGGTCCTTCGCGCTGACTGGGGATGTCAGCTCAGCGCTGGTTACGGGATTTGGTTCCACAAAGATGTGTGCCCAAAGGTGCTAGACGGCAAACGATGCCCGGCGCCCCCCCGGTAGATGCTTTAGTCCCTGGTGAACTGCCGAACCTGGTGGGTGGGCTCAAGACGGTTCCTGCAGGTGGTTGAAGCGGAAGTTCAATTCATTCAAGACGGTTCCTGCATGACCATGAGAACACTCATCAAGAAACCTTGACATTGACTGTTGACGAATCAACTCCCACAGAGGCAGAGGAGCATGTTCACATGTTTCTCAGCGTTTCTTCTTTCATCCACCATCCACACAACTGATACTGTATATGACATATGTATGGAGCCTCAGAGGCATACCCTGGGCCTTCCGCATTCCACGTAGCACACGGATCACCTCAGGAGATGGGAGGTGCGATCCGCTGGGTTCCGGGGCGGGTGCGAGGAGGTCCGGGTCGAATGCAGCTCTCGAGCTGAATGATGACCATCATGATTCATCACGAAAGCGAAAGATAGCTTAATTAGTTAGGCAGTTACTCTTGCTTTATAATCTAAATCTAAGTGATTGCCTGGGGGATGGAATCGGCTTACGACCCCCTCTTGGACGTGTTTGATTTGGGAGCATGATAGTTCTGATAGAATGTGTTTTGGGACAAGTATGTTTCACCTCCTGCCGCGCATGGATTTCACATCCGATTCATGACTCAATTCAGATGGGCCATGATTTGTTAAGCACACTGAAAAAGAGTTAGTCCCTGGTGACCCCCCAGTTTTTTTCGCGACACTCGAGGCTGGTGGCAGCGGGATCCTCGAGGTGGATGTACAATTTGCTTTCCACAGGTGCACTGGCAAGAGTGGCACAATGTGGCACCTCCAGCTTTGTTTCCGAACGAGGGATAACTGGGTTGGGACAACGACATTCTTGGTGGAAGAAGGACACCCAACAGCAAATACAGAGTCCCTCCTTGTCCAAATGGCGTTTGGCGTTTGGCGGAGTCACTGCATGGAACGCCAGAGAAAAAACGATGGTTTTGTTCTGTGCAAATGGCAAGTGCCCTGGTGGCTGCCGTTGTGGGGGCCGACCACTTGACTCTTGCACTGAAAGCAGGGCATCCCCTCACCACAGCCTCATACGCACTTTCCTTGGCTCATGGTGACGGGCATGGGTCGAATGTCAAGTACAACAGGTGAAAGGTTCTTTGCAAGAGAAATGGCCTGGTGGAGACTGAGCTCAGGCCCAGTGGTGATTTTCCTCACCATTTTCCTGGTCTTGCTCTACCACCTGACCTGTGTCTTGCACTCCATCAGCTTGGCGAAGCAGAACTTGGAGGCCCAAAAGTCGCTTCTTCCACGTGGGGAAGACCGACGGAGTGAGTGAGATCGATGATCATCCGTCCAGGCGTTCCCAGAACTGTTCTTCCCCCTTGTGAGCCTTCGCTCTCCAAATCTTCAGGCAAGAAGGACTCCTCCAACCTCCATACATCGGATCCGTTCATGCTTGGTCCCTCCCCTCTAGAAGATATTCCGGCATCGGACTCTTTGGATGCCAGATCCCGCCCAGGCCGCTTACAGCCGCTCGGTGGCGTTCCATGGGGAGCGCTCCTTAGAACGCTCGGTGCTCCATCCCCCGCAGCGGTGCTGCTGCAGGCGATGGCGTGGTCCGCGCGTGGTCCGCGCAGCATGTGCGTGAGGTTGGAGGACACCTGCAGATCCACCAAGAAGTGCCAGCTTGGAAATCACCCCCTTCAACGGTTGTGCTGGGCATCGTGAAGTACCTCATGGGGTTTCGTTCCATCAATGAAGTGGATGCACACTTCACCCGATAAAGCAAGACATACGAGACCTTCGCTCAGACTCGGATTGATCCACCGAGACTTCACCGAAGCCCGGGTTGAGCATGGTTGATCCTTCGAAGTGATGGGGGGTCACGTATGGATGCGCGGCTGGAGCCCATGGGGCCAAAAAGGAACTGGACGTCGCTGCGCGGAGGTCCCACAAGGTCCTCGTCGCGCAGTGGGTCAAAAAGGGGTCTCTGGGCCCTCACGGAAGTGGGTCACGGAGCAGCCCTTGGGAAGACGGCCATCCGTGCTCATCAAATCAGTTCTTCTTCCACTGATTCACCATGAAATCAGGCCACCCTCCTTCCGCCAGGCCGCGGAAGACCTCCTTGTCATGCTTCTGGAAGATCATGCTGATCACGATCGCTTCCCTCTGGGTGCCTGGGGTCGAACACGGGGACGGCCTCGGTGGATTCCTGGAAGGGCCTGGAACGGGGGGGGGATGCAGCGCTTGGGGTCGTGTGCAAGGAGTCCGTGTAGACTGGTAGACTCTTGATTAGTAACCCCCAATTTGAATTGGACATCCTCGTCATATTGGGGGGGGTTACTAATCAAGAGTCTACATTAACCAAACCGACATCATTGGCCGCGGCCATTGTGCTGGTCAAGTGATCGCCCATTCAGCTTGGATCCAGTGGATGGCACCATTTCCTGGACCCGCGATGTTCTGGTTGTTCCTGTACCACGCGGGCGGTTTCTGCCCTTGCGCAAGGGCCCAGGGCTTTCCCCACTGGAACTCTTCGGAGAGTCTCTTCAAGGAGCTGCCGAAGGGCTGGATCGCTCTTCAGGTGGTGGGGACGGACAAGCGTTGCCCCAGGGGCGGCGCTTGAAGCCACTGGCTTCAGGCTTGACCGAGCACAATGTCATGGTTGGTTCGTTGAAGCGCATGTCGCATGTACAAGATCTATATCGATAACCCTGACACATCCATATACAGCAGCAGGGGCTCATCTTGATGTTGCACGCACTGGACGTAAATGTCGACTACTCAGGGGAGTCGAGTACCAAAAAAGTACGGCCAAATTGGGTTGGGTGTCCTTTGTTTTTTCCGCAGGGTTGGACTGCTGGCTTGTTTGGCCAAGTTGGTATTCGGATTGGTGTTGCTGCCATAAAACCCACGCGGTGATCGACCAACAAATCCTTCATCAAGGAAGTGATCAGCTTCCAGCTGAACATCCGGCAGAATAGGACCTTTTGCTCTGGCTATAGCGCAGGTTGTTACCTATCTTTTGCAATCTCCTGCGATCCAACGACGGCCACAGACTTCGATGCCTTTGGTGGTATTGGTTTGGCAATCCGATCGCAGCCGTGAGTACTTCGACGACTGCCCCCTCACGAAGCCCTTTTTTTTTCGCAATGGGGACCGTCGACCCATACGCTCGGCGATCGCAGATCGGTTTTGGAGCTTCTATACCACGAGGCTACAATTAACACACTCACCAAAAACGATAACGGGTTGTGAAAAACGATAATACACTCACAACTCCACAACAATTTTGACCGTCGCTCACATGCACTGACAAGACCAACTGTGGGGCCAAAAAACAACGTGAGCGCTCGGCAATGTAAGCTTCAGGGTTTCGGTCACGTACCTCTTCCTCTTGTCTTCGCAACGAAGCCAATTGGGAGTTTACTTTGGAACAGTGGAATTGGTGGACGGGCTGGAATGCATCGGCCTCCATCGACGACACGCATGCATCGGCCGGCCGCGCTTTCACTTGGCATAGTGCTTTGATGCAACGAAACCTGTACGCCGGTGGTGAGGAGGAGCAGACTCAGCACTTTGACGCTCAAGACGGACCTCATCAGTGTAGCATTTGGTGAGTGTGTTAATTGTAGCCTCGTGGTATAGAAGCTCCAAAACCGATCTGCGATCGCCGAGCGTATGGGTCGACGGTCCCCATTGCGAAAAAAAGGGCTTCGTGAGGGCGCAGTCGTCGAAGTACTCACGGCTGCGATCGGATTGCCAAACCAATGCCACCAAAGGCATCGAAGTCTGTGGCCGTCGTTGGATCGCAGGAGATTGCAAAAGATAGGTAACAACCTGCGCTATAGCCAGAGCAAAAGGTCCTATTCTGCCGGATGTTCAGCTGGAAGCTGATCACTTCCTTGGTAATAAGGAAAGCCATAGAAAACGTTTTCATTTGGATGGTAACATGTCATCCAGAGTCTACGACTGCGCCTGTCTTATCCCACGAAGGATGAAGTCCGTCCTTGTGGCAACCTTAAGGGGGGGGGCAAGGCTGCGAGAAAGAAGCGCCTGTGAATGCTGTCTTGAGCTGGCACCACGAATTGATTCAGATATATAGCTCAGAGTGGTGGAGTTTCGGGGAAAAGTCACGAATGAAGACTTATTCGTTCGCCCATGCTGTTTGGTTGGTTTCTTGCCATGAGTTGCCCAGGTATTATTCTTCACTGGCTATGCTCGATCCCTAGATGCCGAGAAATTGGAACAATCTTCGCTGAGACAGGACGGGACGGGACTTGCGCACTGGCGTGTCTCACCCAGCGCGCTGGCGTAGACGTGACTCAGGCGGCAACCCTCCTGGTGCAGGATGGCGGGTTCCAGCCGGTTGAGTGGAGGGTTTGCATCTCGCGAGACGTTTGCCGCTGCCGTTTCTTTTTCCCAGATGATTTGCTTTGGGGATCCCAGGTGCAAAAAGCAACTTTTGAAGGGAGCTCTATTCCACTTATCAAGGATTAAAGGAACACGCCGTATTGGCATGCCCCACTGAATTTGATGGTGAACCACCATGGGTCCAAGCACCAATGAGGTCCTTGCGACGGAAGAGCGTCCGCAAGACCGGAGATGGGACATATGAAAATATGCGAAATCATAAGTCATAAGTGAAATCATATGAAGCTGTCGGGGGTTGGAGGCAGTGCCGGAGTTCTTAAAGAAGTGCATCTTCAAGGTGGAGTACAGCTCTTGATGTTGCTTGTTCGGAACCTTGTTCCCGAAGAAAGAGACACGATCTGAGCTTCCAGCAGCCCCTCCACTAAAAGCGCCTTTGCCTTTGCCCCGATCGCCATGGGCTCACAGAATTAGCCAGTGCAAGTGAGGAGAGGGACAGCGCACAGGAAGGCCACCGAGTTCGAAGATTCCTGAAGACTTTCAGGGGATTGATCATTCGAAACAGTTTCTTCCATGATGGATGTTTATGTGTGAGACTTTGATGCTGTAGATCGGATACACCAAAGCCAATGGGGAAGTAGAGACTTCTGAATAGCTAGAAGTGGTCAGCCCATGTCAGCCCAATAAAAACATGTATTGGACATGGTTCTCTCAATGTTGGGACCAGCACGGATGCCATGCATGTCCCCAAGGATCCAGTGTGCCACTGACCTTTGAAAACGGAGCGTCCTTTGAAAGGGAGTGTCCTGGCCTTTAAAGGGGCCTTCCGAGCTGTCCGGACGGTGGTGAAGACCACAGATGGAGCAGCGATGGAGCAGCGCTTCACGCTGAACAAGCTTGGAAGAAAGGTGGGGCTCCGTCTTGGAGGGCTTGTGTGTGCAGAAAGTGGAGGATTTCACAGGCTTAACCAGGAGTTCCGTCTGCTTTGATGCTGAACCTGCATCCCTCTCATCTCTCATCTCTCGTGGCAGGTCCGGGCGACGCTGAACCTGTGCCTGGGTGGGAATCCGGGAGGTCTGGTCGATTCCAAGATCCGGTTCGGGGGCATCCCTCATGCTTTGCTCAGGGCATGTCCAAAGTATGGTCGGCTGCTTCAAAGACATTGGGCGGAATGCATGATTGTGTGTGAAGCTCTGCTTGGGACAGTATGATGTTGGATTTTGGGGCGGCGATCAAAGACATGCCATGTATTTGGTACAGTATGTATTTGCTTCCTGAGAAGGGGGGCCTGGCAGCTTGGTCACCCATAGTAAGCGCCAGATCATCCCAGACGTGGCGGATGTGCTTGGGATATGTTGAGATGAAACCGTTCTTCTCTCCTCTCCAACCTGCCCAGGCGCGGAAAAGAGGAGCCTCCGAGCAGGACGGGAAGCGCAAGCCCCATCTCCAAGCCCTCGAGCCCCGTGCCTGAGGCGGGCGAAGCTCCCACACCTTTGTGAGGTGGTTTTTTCCCTTTCACTCACCAGCTGGGATGAAGTCTCGGTGTATGAAAAACAGATAGCAAAGGTGAGCCACTTTGATCCACTGCCAGCTGCCCAGCGCTCTCCGTATTGAGATTGAAGGGATTGAAGTCAATTGGTCTCAGGCGACTCGGGATCTCGACCTGACCCGTTTCCGGATTCCTGGAACGGGGAGTTCTCCGTTCCAAAAGACGACCGCGAATCGACAGGTCGACAGGTCATTAGGATTCGTTCGGGATCCGTTTTGGATGTTCTTGGAGCTTCGTGGACCGACACACCCTCCAAAAATGGTGTTCACCAGCCTCACAGCCTGGGCCAAGCGGTGACTCTTTTGGCGTTGGGTGGTCGGACGCCGAACACAGGTGCATGACGCGCTGCCACCGCTGTCGAAGTTCAAAGGGGCCACCCTGGCACTGACAGCGGCCAGTCGCTTCAGGAAGCCGCACTGGGAGAGCTGAGTGGACCGTTGGAAGGGTGAAAGAATCATCTCTCTCAGACTCCCTCTCTCTCTATCCCAGGAGACCATAGGAGACCCTAAGGCCCTAAGGGGTGCCACTATCCCAGGAGACCCTAAGGGGTGCCAATTGGTGGTAAGGGTCCGGTCCAAACAACACCTCTCCTCGAGACATGGTGACATGGACTCCTCGAGACGTGGACATTGGACATGGCGGTGCCCGCATGACTCATGACTCACTCGACCATGTTCCTGTGAATGTCAGGTCGCCTTGAGGTTGCATGGTTGACTTTCGCTATTAGAATGGGTTCATCTTGGCGATATACAGTAAGACGACGCGTAGTTGATATGAGAGAGAGGAGTGTGTTGAGAGGGTGTTGCTGGTTCTAGTCATGTCAATTCTGCCTGTTCCTCGATCGCCCTGGACCCGACTCCAACCCGGATGCACACCTGTGGCGCCTCTAGACGTCCATCTTCCCTACGAAGCACAGGTCTAAGGTTATTGATTTCGCAGGTGAAGACCTGTAGCAGATCTGATAGAACCAGCAACCGCCGAATATGTAACCGTTTCGTGGTATCCAGGAGCGCCGGCACCTCGAACCTGACGAGTGCGAGGGCCCAGTGGACAGGGGATTCATTTTCACCCAGGGATGCTGGAGGGAGAGAGTATGTGCATTTCCTGTGCTCCAACCCAGGTACTTGGGGCTATACTTGAGGATATGTGGCTGAGGTTTAAAACCTCAAGCACCCAAACCCTGGTAGGTTGACCATGGTTGACCTCCCTTGTCGTCGATTCTGTTCCTTTTTGGTCCACCGCTGCCTGCCGTGGGCCGGCTGCCACCGCCGCTTCGTCCCGACCGCCGACGGGCCGACGAAAAAAACACCGAGAGTCACGGATTGAGGGCCCAAGTGAAGCCTTTTGATGAGTCATTATATATATATATACCTATAGGCTTCCATTGGGCACCCCTTGGAGGGTCCTAGTACCAGCTTCTTCAAAGTGACCTTTTGAAGGTTCCTAAGTGACCCTTAGGAGGCTTAAGTGACCTCAAACCAGGTTATCAAAAGGTCACTTTGAAGAACAAGGTATATATTTTACTTTTTACTGTGATCCTTATATTATATATACATATACATGACAATATGTATATATATATAGATGCATGAGTTTTTTGTTCTTGATATTTGATCAATTTGTTTGCTGGGGGATTTCCATGTGCATAGAGTTGGGAGAGGGAACCCTTTGTTTCTGTGATTCCTAGCTGGTAGGTCCTTGTAGGTGTGACACATAATAGCATATATATATATATGCACATGTTCCTTGTCCATGGAGTCTCTTGATCTCGAACGCCGGCAGGTCCTGAGGGCCTACTGGTGCGAGCACATCCCTTCTTTCTCGGTACCCGGAAGAGCTTCCGGGAGCAGTCCCTTGGTTGCCCAGGGCCGATCTTCCATTTTCATGCAGAACACCCAGTGGACATGGCGGACATTTTGGCAGAGTTGGAAGATCTAGTTATGTAATACAATATGATATATCCATGCCGCCCATGGTTCGGTGAATGTTCTTATTTGGGGTCGGCTTGGAGGATTTGGAGGGTTCCACTGCCTCGGACTTCTGGAGGGTTTTTGGAGGACTGGCGGGGCGGATTCCGGGTGTGGAGAGTGAGTTCCTTTCATCAACCGTACTGAATCCCTTTTGCCATCATTGCTAGCTGCTAGAGGCATTTGGTGAGGATTTGGTGAGGCCTTGGCCTGACACCGAAGAACCTGCGTTCGGACGCTGCCGCACGCAGGTTAGCCCTGGCGCTGGAACCCTTGGCTAATGTTGAGGCTGATCAGGAGGCACAGGAATTGGAGACAGACTCTCACGGGCCCGATGGGCACCAATCACCCGTCCTTTGGGGAGATTCGGGTGCCGTGCCGTGCCCATCGGCGGAAGGGGATTTTTCATGGAGCCGCACCACCCGTCGCGACCGGTTTGCGGCTCCAACAGCTCAAATCTTTCTGGTTTTCTGATGCTCAGATCTGCAGGTGGCTTTGGAGCCCTGGGAGGAAAAGGTTTGGGAGGCAGGATGTGCGCGCTGATGTTTGTCCTGACCGGCCTCAGAAGATAGCAGATAGCACAGAACTCATCAGGCTTTCGTGGATCTCAGTCACTAGGTTGACCTAGCTCCCATGGAAAGTGGATGCCCTCTACAAACAGGTGAATGTAGTGAGACGCTCTCTCCGCCAACTCAGGTGGTGAGACGTTTTTTTCACCAACCGAGTGGATGGGAAGTGGTGTCCCATGTGCTTAACCTAGCTCATGCAATTGTATCCGGGTTAACCTTTAAAATCCTTTAAACATCCAGTTGAAGTTGATGTCGAGTTGGGATGTTTGACTTAGGCGAAGTTACACCCGAAGTTCTTCCCGCTTCACCGGCGCACCACCACACGGCAGGTGCTCGTGCCCCGCGGCGAGCCGACCGCGGCGCCGAGCAGCTCGAAGGTCTTGCTGAAGCAAGGCGAGGCAGTGCCCTGGCAGTTGCCCGGGCCCTAGGAATGGCGGACGACAAGTTGTGGGCGCAGTGTTGGGCACAGCACAGTGATCTCTTTTTTTCAAGTCCTCGTTTTTTTTGTTGTGGGGGGGGAGTCAAGCAGTCGGGTCATTGGTTGGTGGATGAAGTCAAGAAAACCTGTACTAGTTTGAATGACGGAGACTGGCTGGTACAAATCCGGCGGGCGTTTCCCATGCCGGACGCCGGCCAGACCAGAAACCACCCCAAAGGCGTGGCACCTGGAAAGTGTAGGAGTTCGGCAGAACAGGTTCGAATGGACGAAAATTCGACCATTGTGTGGGAAAAGGCTCAGAAATGTTTTGGATAGAAATGGTAAAAGGATGTAAAAGGATGTAAAAGGCCTAGACAGCCTTAGGAATTCACGTCCAGAATTGGACCTCTTAAGCCACTCCGGTTGGCTTCCAGCTGTTCTTCGCGAGTTCCGTTTCTACGTGGTGAACTCAGTGA